TGGCCAGGTGGTTACGGTGCTCGACTCGCAATCTGAGAGTCGCGGGTTCGAATCCCCGTCCCACCAAACATGCTCGCCCTTTGAGCCGTAGGGGGGCAATATAATGTGACGGTCAATTCGTTAATAAAAGAGTAGCCCAAGAGTTGGCGGTGGGTGGTGATGATGGCTAGCGCAGATAGCCCTCGTGTAGCTTTGCGCGAAATTCAAAACAAACAAACAATACTTAGTCCACTTCTATTAGAAGGAATTATTCATTTCTTTGTGGTATTCAGTTTGACGACTGAATTAGACTGAACACGGACGGTGAAGGAAAATAGATGAACACAAATTAAAACACTAATAAGGGCGACAGTTGAGACAGTATTAACGTTTCAAGTCACGAAGGACACTAATAAGGGCGACAGTTGAGACAGTATTAACGTTTCAAGTCACGAAGGACACTAATAAGGGCGACAGTTGAGACAGTATTAACGTTTCAAGTCACAAGGACACTAATAAGGGCGACAGTTGAGACAGTATTAATGTTTCAAGTTATGAAGGACACTAATAAGGGCGACAGTTAAGACAGTATTAACGTTTCAAGTCACGAAGGACACTAATAAGAGCGACAGTTGAGACAGTATTAACGTTTCAAGTCATGAAGGACAGTAATAAGGGCGACAGTTGAGACAGTATTAACGTTTCAAGTCATGAAGGACAGTAATAAGGGCGACAGTTGAGACAGTATTAACGTTTCAAGTCACAAAGGACACTAATAAGGGCGACAGTTAAGACAGTATTAACGTTTCAAGTCACGAAGAGCATTATGGGACTAGTGTACCTATAACCTGAGCCTTGGCATAAAGGTAATGGTATAAAGAACGAAGTACCTGCACGTTACCACAAGCAGCTGGAGTTACTTACTGCTCTCTTATCACACAAGTTTATAATCAAGATGACGAAGGTCTACAGACTCAAGGTCGGTACCCGTGGTTACAATAAGTTGTATCCGATCTATTGTGGTGTATTAGGATTCAAGTTCAGTTAATCAACACTTGAGATTTATTGAGTCAGCCTAAACGAGGGAAGAAACACGTGTTCAGATGGGGAGCCAGAATTTAAATAGAACTTCGTTTGGAATATGGACTTTCCTACATATAATGGGACTACGGAACGTGGACTTTTCTAACATATAATGGGACTACGGAACATGGACTTTTCTAACATATAATGGAACTACGGAATATGGACTTTCCTACATATAATGGGACTACGGAATATGGACTTTCCTACATATAATGGGACTACGGAACATGGACTTTTCTAACATATAATGAAAACCAAAAAACACGGACTTTTCTTATATATAATGAGAACCACGGAACATGGACATTTCTTACTAAATCAACCTTTAATGTACCAAATCATTACAACACCGTTTCAGTGTAACGCACACACATACATATATTTTTTAGGTTCTTTTTTGCGCCACATATGAAAACAAATTAAGTCAGGATTCTCCATATTTCTGTATTCTTGCCTGTCACGCTCTTGAAACGTTTTCACATGTCTGTGTATTACACATTTCCTGCATGTCACGCCCTTGAAACGTTTTCACGTATGTGTGTGTTAAACATTTCCTGCATGTCACGCTCTTGAAACGTTTTCACATATCTGTGTGTTAAACATTTCCTGCATTTCACGCTCTTGAAACGTTTTCACGTATGTGTGTGTTAAACATTTCCTGCATGTCACGCTCTTGAAACGTTTAAACATTTCCTGCATGTCACGCCCTTGAAACGTTTTCACGTATGTGTGTGTTAAACATTTCCTGCATGTCACGCCCTTGAAACGTGTTCACATATCTGTGTGTTAAACATTTCCTGCATGTCACGCTCTTGAAACGTGTTCACATATCTGTGTGTTAAACATTTCCTGCATGTCACGCTCTTGAAACGTGTTCACATATCTGTGTGTTAAACATTACCTGCATGTCACGCTCTTGAAACGTGTTCACATATCTGTATGTTAAACATTTCCTGCATGTCACGCTCTTGAAACGTTTTCACATATCTGTGTGTTAAACATTCCTGCATGTCACGCCCTTGAAACGTTCTCACATACCTGTGTGTTAAACCGCGAACTGTCAGCGAGATGTAGATGTATGACGTAAGCTAGTACAAGATACAGTGGCTTTAGTAGTAACAGATAGTGTTGATGAACTAAGAAATTATCAGATTTTCCAGAACCAGATGACAAATTAGCAGAACTTCATGTCCCAAATGTGTGAAAATTTTACATTCAAAAGTAATAATAGGAGAGAGAGATGGCAATTTAAGCAATATCCATATTTGGTGCCACCTGGTGTGATTTTAGTGAACTATGTTGCAAAACACCTGTCGCTGTACTTGACACGCACAGAATATCAATCAAATATTTAAACCCGACCGTAGAGTATTTTGTTTTTATGCTGCTGCTGCCCCCTACCGGACGTTACTTTAAGTGTGTAAATTAATAGTAATTCAAGATCGTCTGCGAACTTTAATTATTGGTTTTTGTTTACAACAGTTTGTGGCTAGTTATAATTTCGTTTGGATAGGAAATCAAATGAATACATATCTGTAATTTTACACCAGTTTACTTGGGGGGGGGAGAGGGAGAAACGACCTAAAACGCTCTCTACTTTTTTTTTTTTACTTTACGCGTAAATTTAGCTTTCCATAAATAAATATCTAATATTAGGATCTTAATCCTTGGTTCTGTGTGAACCGGTGAAAACTGTAGGGGTTAGGAAGGAATGCTGATAACTTGAAGAAAACAACGTATCCTGAACTGTTAGTTTACAACTCAAATGTTAACAAGTTCCACTCGAAGATAGGAGCAGCCTTGGACTTTGGGAGGACTCTACCTGGCCTGCAAGGAACACACCACGTGATATCGATTTTATGATGCTTGTTTAGTTGCCGCATAGCTCTTCTCGAGACGAGCGCCCTGGTGGCGGCTTTGTCCGCATAACGTAACACTGCGGTAGCCTTCGTAGCTAAGGGTTATTTCGTCACGTTCTCTTTATAAACTCGAAGTTAGCATAGAACTTCTCTCTGGAAGTGGGTGTTAAAGGGTGACGAGAGTTGACTAGGACTATGGGTGTGTTCAAGGTTGGAGATTTTACCCGAGATACTTTGAGGCTACTGGCAGGACGATCCTGAACAGAGAGAGAGAGAGAGAGAGTTAGGTTCGAGAATAAGGTGTCCTCAGTCTCTCCTAGTGAAGAAAACAAGATTTTGACGTTCTAACACTTCGATTTAATAACGTATATATCGACCTTGAAAAACAGGGTGTTACGTAGAGCTAGCTGCTAACCGAGAGACGTAATTGTCGCACACATGTAGAGACGGTCAAAGTTAGTTGGTGCTACGGTAGCAGACGGTCTCACTTTCACCCATGGTTGTCTTATTCAAGAGTACTTGTCTGTCTGTCTACTTCTTCTTTTTTTTTTTTCGACGACGTTGTGGAATAAGCGACAGCTAAGTTGGACTTGCAGTTGGGATGATTTGAAAACAACAACAAAATCCCTTCAGACGTGTGGGAGTAAACTAGCATTCTCTTGTAAAAAAATCGCGAATGTTTAGAAACTTTGTGTTGTGCTTTAAAGTGTAGGAAAGTTGTGATTATATGTGAAGACAAGGAACGCTGTTACATGCTCCGTAACGCGAAGAGCTTGAAACGTTAACCATCAGATCTGCTGGTGCTACTCGGAACATGCAGGGCTCATCTGAGCCACCATTCCCGGAGCGAGACGACATGTCTGTAACCCCTACCGGTCAGGCCGGTATTAAGAAGGAAAAGGCATCGTCCGTGCTTAAAAGGCTGGGAGGGCCGAGACCGGCTCTATTATCAGACAACAAGTGGGAACTCGTTATTCCTGCTTTGAAAGTGGCATCTATAACGTCGATCGCGTTAGCTCTCGCGGCTAGTTTGATAGGCGTATATCTGTTCACTAATAGTGGGACCTCTCAGCCAAAGGAGCCGCACTGTTCGCCTCTCAAGGCTCCTTTCGTTGGCCGCCAGTTTACTTGTGGGCCCGATAAGAGTGGACACTGTCCTGTGGACTGGGTCGTAAGTCTTGCGGGCATTGTTATTTTAGTAAACCTCTTTTTTGCTGCCCTGTTTAGGGGCTTGTTAGTGCGTAGTAGCCCCAACATGTTTACTCGACGTCACACCAAGGGGTCCCGGCAACCCCAGGATCCGGATACCCTAGTCCAGACCAGTTCTTCCTCATCCTCTCAGGAGTTCCGGTCATCATTCAGCACGAGTGAAGTCCGGACCGTCCAAACTTCGCAGGTTATCCGCAAGACCACGACACTGTCACAAGGAGATGGCCAGCAGACAGTCACTACCAGCGAAGTGACCACCCCAGGACGAACGGTCACAACACATTACGTGGTCAAACAAGAATCATCTTCCACGGATCATACTGACCGCAGCGACAAAAAAAGCAAAGTCCAGCGTGCCAGGAAGACTCGGGAAATGACACAAGGAGATGACCAGCAGACAGTCACTACCAGCGAAGTGACCACCCCAGGACGAACGGTCACAACACACTACATGGTCAAACAAGAATCATCTTCCACGGGTCATACTGACCACGGCGACAAAAAAAGCAAAGTCCAGCGTGCCAGGAAGACTCGGGAAATGACACAAAGAGATGACCAACAGACAGTCACCACCAGCGAGGTGACCACCCCAGGACAAACGGTCACAACACATCACGTGGTAAAACAAGAATCTTCTTCCACCGGTCTTACTGACCGCGGTGACAAGAAAAACAAAGCCCAACGTGCCAGAAAAACCCAAGGAACTAACCGGGTCACCAAAAAACCAGCGGAAATGGCTCAAACGAAACAGGTGGGCTCGTGTAAACTTTTGTTTTGTGGGATTTTCTTATGTTGGTATATTGTGGTATTTTAAAGCATAATTTCGGAAATTCAGTCGATTTCGGTTATAACTGCTGGTGTTTGGTTATAATATTTGTGGGAAGCTAGCCGTCTCTTAACGTTAATGGCGTTAGGTTTAGGTTTTGATTTTTGTTTGTTTTATTGTTAAGCGCTAAGCTACACAATTTCTAAGCCTAATTCCATTGTAACATGACATTTACTACTGCTTGACGATGGTCGTCTGCTCGAAACGTCGCACAAAGTTTTCATTTATTCGATATTAACGTTTATCCAAGTTTTTCTTCTACGGATCAACACTCATTCAAGTATCTGTGCTGTGTCCACCACGGGTATCGAAACACGGTTTTTAGCGTTATAAGTTTTCAGACTTGCTGCTGAGCTACTAGGGGGGAACATTTAATTTAGGATTCTGTAATATAGCTCATGCATATTTGAGTAGTACGAGTTTAGAACTGTGGTTCGGTCGATGAACGTTAATTGAGTTAATTTTTGGTTGGTGAATCTGGTCTGTTGTCTCAGCCTAGTTGTTTTAAAGAAAGCAGTTCCTGTTTTACATACATTGTTTTCAACACGGATGAATGCATTAATTTCGTGTAAAAACTATAGATAACATTCACCGTCCGAAAGGTGACAGTGAGAATTCATTACAGATTATGTTGGCTGGTAGGTGGGGCGTCTTGACTCGCAATCTGTGGGTCGCGGGTTCGAATCTCGTCACCGAACATGCTCGTTCTTTCAGCCGTGTGAGCGTTATAATTTCAATTTCACTTTTTTGTCAGTAAAGAGTAACCCAAGAGTTAGCGGTGGGTGATTTTGACTACTTACCCTCCCTCTAGTCCATCACTAACGCCGTCAAGTAGCTTTGTACGAAATTCAACCAACAAACAGGTTATGTTACTCAATCGTTATCACGCGCAGGGTTCACTAAGTACTATTGACCATTTATCTGATAGATGTCCACAAAACTAAATCTGACGACTTCATTCCAGCGAAAGGAAACGACAGTATTTAAGCACGCGAAAGTGTCGTCTGTTACCCATTGACGTGCGGTCATTTCACCGACTCTGTTTTTGGATATCGACATTAGGTGGTGACGATGTGACGTGTATGATAGAAGATTATTAAAATTTTTATTTTTGTTTTTTTACCTTAAATATCATATTTATTTTTCACTTTAGAAAAAGTTTTTTTTTAGAATTTTCCTGAAACGTCATTTTATCCATACGTGTAACTTACATAATGAAATATTTCAAAAGTGACCTATTTTACAATTTACATAATTGCCCACCAGAGAGAGCATGGGCGTGGCAGTTTGCAGCAAATAGAATTTTACTAACCATCTAATTTAGCACATATGACTGGAGATGTTATGGTTTGAAATTATATAGACAGTAAACTTTAGTTTCTTTAAAAAACAACAAAAAAGCTAATTTTATGTGTAATGGCGAAAATAATTCAATATTGAAAAGCTCCCTATAAATTTATACTAAATAATGATGGTGATAACAAGCTGCCTTCCCTCTAGTCTTACACTGCTAAATTAGAGATGGCTAGCGCAGATAGCCCTCGTGTAGCTTTGTGCGAAATTCAAAACAAACCAATCAAATTAAGTAATGATTGTAGCGTAATTATTGGTGTATTTACAGTTCATGGTCATTTCTAAAAGAGCCGCGGTATTCTTTTGAGTTGAAATGTTGTTAGTTCTAAAGGAGTCTTGATGATCCTTCGACTTGAAACATCGTCAGCTCCTAAAGAGTACTGTTGATCTTGTGAGTTTGAAGAGAGTTCTGGTG